AAAAAAAAAAAAAAAAAAAAAAAAGACACTTCCTAAATACAAGATTTTTGTTTTTGAGAAGAAGGTTTGTGGGCCAGAGTGACCTTTCATATTCCTGAGGTTTAAGCTGCACAAGGCACAGGAGCACTTACTTCTGGAAGAACAGTGCACTTGGGGATTGGCTTACCTGAGGAGTTGATTACTAGTCCAGATATCTCCTGCAGTTTTGCTTTGTTAATCCCTTCTAAAACTAGAAACCTTTCCCTTCTCTTGCAAATGTGCTTTTACTGCCTGTGTTACTGAGCTGTAGTAGAAAGCTGAAATCAGCACTGAGCTCTTGTGTGCTGATGTACTATTGCATTTGACTTTCTGAGCATCATATGGCATACTGCCTTGTACAAAAAAAATCTCTGTAACCTATGACGACTCCTCTACAGCTGCAGGACCTGAATTTTCTCTAAAGTGTGTTGCTTCCTCCTCACCTTGAGGCACATGTCTTGGAAATCTTGTATCTTTAATTATCTAAAGTCCTTGGTTTTCAGAGTTGTGAGTGCAGTTTTGGAAACTTTTAAGTTTGTTCTTTATCTAGATTACTTGTTGCTGTGGAGAGAATGTTTACAGTGGCTTTACAATAAAACTTAGATATGTTGTACTTTTTTCCTCAGTAAATGTCTATAGCATGTTTCCTCATCTGTTCTGTTAAATTTTTGTGCTTTTTAAAACAATAGAGAATACACAATTATCTGGTAAAAGTTACTGCATATCAAAGGATCACTGGACAAGATAAGCATACTTTGACATTCGGTCTTGATAATCAAGAGGTTTTAGATGCACCTGCATTTGTCTCAAAGGACTTTAACTTGGACAACTCACATTTAGGGATGCAAAGTAACTCAGTTGCCCTCCTACCTGGCTGCTCAACTGTTTTAGTTGGTTTCTTTCTCTATCTGCCCATTTCCATCCTACAACGTAATTTTGGTGCAACAGCTTGTTGCAGTAATTCTTGCACTTCCTGCAAGAAGTTCCCTCTAGAAGAGTACCACTGATCATGGCTGCTAGTAGTCTAGAGTGCTCTACTGTATGTATAAATTGGCCAGAGAGGAAAAAGCAACTGCAAACAATAGGAGATGGGAGGAAGTTGTTTTAACCCAGATCCCGCCAATTTCAAAGAACAGGACTTCCTTGTAACCAGAGCTGTTTCCTTTACACCTGAGCTCCTAAACTGGATTCCAACAGTGAACCTAATGGTCGTTGGTTAAGATCAGCTTCTCAGCCTCTTTTGCACTTGGGTCACAGTGACCTGAGGGTCAAACCCAATCAGGGCAAGGTCTTCAACATCACCTCTAAGTGAGACTCCAGCAACAACTTCATGCCCGTTTTATGGACTGGTGTTTCCTCCACCGCGCCTGCCTCAACTGTCTGCCTCTGAATGGGGCTGTCTCCTTCAGCCACTGGGACAAGAGGTGCTGGTGCTTTAGCTACACAATACAGACCCTTCCCCATGAGCTGTGCAGCTGCAGGCCACGTGCCAGAGCCTGGCAGCTCTGCCACAACACTCTGGGGCTGCCTGGCGAAGGCCATCTCGGCTGCAGTGGGGGAGCTCTCCCTGAACTGCAGCATTGCAGACTGAGAGAGCCAGATGCACCCTGACATCCTCATCACTTATGAGGAGGCCAAGAAAATCCTGATCGTGAATGTCGCTATACCCTTCAAGCATCAAGCTTTCAATGATTCCTGGGATCACAAGCAGAAGTACACCCCACTGACCAACATCCTGAGGGGCTGCAGCTATGATGAGATGGTCAATAGACCTGGGCGAAGCAGCTAGTATTCGCTTTGGATTAGAATTCGACCAGTTTGGGGAACAGTGATTTGATTTGGTGATTTGAACTACTGTCCCAAATCGATTCAGTCAAATCTGATTCAGAGATTCAGCTGCTGCCAAATCTCTGAATCAGCCAGGCCCATCCCCCCACCGCCTGGCAGTGGCTGCCCTGCCTGCCCCAGCTCCTGGTTTTTTGAAAAAAAAAGTCCCGACTCACTGGGTGATGCCGGGTTGGTGGGGGGGGGGGGGGATCCCT